CTTTTCATTTCTCTGGTTGTACACCACGTAGAGTCACACTATATGTGCAGTCACACGTGTACCTAGGGTGGTGATGTCCATCTCATTCCACCATCTTTCCTGCCCTCAAGCCCCCTCCTCTCCTTTCCCTCCCATTTGCCCAGTCAAGGTTCCTCTGTTTTTCCCATGCCCCAAATATGAAATTCTTCACAAATTTGCATATCATTCTTGTGCAGGGGCCATGTTAATCTTCTCTGTATTGTTCCGATATTAGTATATGTACTGCCAAAGCAAGCACTGTATGATCCTTTTAATGTACTGAATTTGCTTTGTTAGTATTTTGTTGATAATTTTTGTATTGATTAATTTAAAAAATGGTACGGGCACACACACAGTTTTATACCAATAAAACAGTGTCCAGAAATAAATTCACACACTAATAGTCAACTAAACTTTGACAAGTGTATTGAGAACACTCAATAAGAAAATAATAGTCTTTTAATAAATGCTTCAGGGAAAACTGGATATGTGTATGCAGAAGAATGAATTTGACCTTTTTCTCAAACTATATCCAAAAATCAACTAAAAATAAAGACTTAAACATAAGAACTGAAACTCTAAACACCTAGAAGAAAATAGATGGAAAAGCCTCTTGCATTAATCTTCCCAATAATTACAATACAAATTAAAAACAAAATATCACTTCACATGTTAGAATGGATATTATAAAAAAAGACAAAAGATAAGTGCTAATGAGGATATGGAGAGAAAATGAATATTTTTAAATTTTTCATGGGAATGTAAATTAGTTTAGCCATTATGAAAAGCAGCACAGAGATGTAAAAATTGTTAAAGAGGATCTTAATTGTTCATCATGAATAAGATAGGACAGTTAATGGATCCCAATTAAAGATTTTCTTTTTTTTTTTTATGTTTAGGCCATTGCACAAGGTTAACCTATAGAAACACTTCAAACATTCCATTTTTTAGGAGAGGTGAAAAACAGAAATAGGGGCAGACCTGAATGGAGGTTAGGGAAAGTTCAAACTCAAGGATTAAAAAGCCAGTCAGAAAATCATGAGATAGAACAATAGTGTAGGTACTTTTCCAAGATTTGATTAGCATAGATATAGATGTATGCCCCTACCCAGTAATTATATAAGCCCCTAGACTAATACATTTAAGGGGAAAACCCCGGTGGGTCCCCTCTTGCCCTGAAATTCTCTTTCTTTTCACTCTTTTCACTTTTGGCTTCATTATTATCTGTGGATTTCATTTTTCAAATTTGCAAGATGAGAACCTAGAAAGAAATTGGAGGTGAGTTGCTGGGATCTGCTAACACACTGTAGCACTGCAGGGCATAACCTGCCATTAAGAGCTGCAATACACCACTCAATAGTGATTGAGAAGAATCTGGCTTTGTCAGTTTGTAACCCTTGGAGCCACTGCTGTGACCAGCTGCTAATGATAAAGCAGGTGTTCYTGGCTGCAGAGGCCTGCAGTTTACACAGACCCTACCTTACCTATCAGTAGAAGCAGAAAATCGAGTTTCATCTCAGACTCTGGTTTCAACCACACACATATTCAACACGACATGGTAATTATGTGAGGTGATAGAAATTCTAATAAACTTGATTATAGCAATCATTTCACAATGTATAGGAATATTAAAACATGTCTGAGTATGTGAAATATTTATAATTTTTATTTGTCATTTATACTTCAATAAAATAAAATAAAATAAAATTGCCCCAATAGGCAAACAAAGAGACATACCATGTAAATTCACATATAAAGATTCTTTATACATTGTTTCTCCAGAGGATTAAAAGAAAGTTGTCCTGTTTAAATGATTTATTTGCCTTTTTCTTCTTATTTTTTTTTTTTTTTACTGTGGTAAGAACACTTAACAAGAGATCTACCCTATTAACAGATTTTTAAGTGACAATACAGTATTGTTAAATATAAGCAAAATGTTGAACAGCAGATTGCTAGAATTTACACACCTTGCATAATTGAAACTTCATATCAGCTGCACAACAGCTCTCCATTTCCCATTTCCTCCAGCCCCTGAAAACCACTGTTTTATTCTGTTTCAATGAATGAGTTTAACTATTTTAGATACTTCATAAAATGAACTCATGAAATATCTGTCCTTCTGTAAGTGGCTTATTTCACTTCAGTTAAATATCAGGATTTTCTTATTTTTAAAAAAGTAAATAATAATAATTTGTGTATTCATCACATGTTTTATCTATTATGAACATTTTGGTTGTTTCTGTATCTTGGCTATTGTGAATAATGCTACAATGAACACAGAGTTTATCTCTTCAAAGTACTGGTTGCAATTTGTCTGGATATGTACCAGAATGGGATAGCTGGGTCATCTAAAAATCCTACTTTAAATTTTTGGAGGAACTGCCATACTGTTTTCCATAGTGACTGTACTATGTTACTTTCCAAAAGGGCTTCAGTTTTCCTACATTCTTACCAATTGCTATCTTTTTGTTGTTGTTGTTTGTTTTRTTTTGGCAATAGTCATACTAACAGATGTGAGATAATATTTCTCTATGGATTTGATTTGCATTTGCTTAATGATTAATAACCATGAGCCATTCATATGTCTGCTGTGAAGAAATTCAAKTCTTATGCCAATTTTTAATCAGGTTACTTGGTGGCAATTTTTACTGAATTGTAGAAGTTCCATACATACTTTGGTTATTAAGTCCTTATTGTATATACAGTTTGCAAATCTCTTTTCTATTTCCATTGTGGAAGAAGTAATTCAATTATGGGTAAGCAATTCTTATCCCAAAGTGAAGAATTTTATTATCACTAACACTCCCTAGATATAGAAAGAGTGCATAAAGTTAGCCCCATAATAGTTGGCAAATATCTGTTCTTGAGTTGAAGGATATTTTTGAAGTCARTGGTAGAATCAATAGAATTCAAATSATTTTCTTACACAAAATGTATYCTTTGTTACTAGAGATGAGAGAACAGTTAAAAATTTCCAAATTGTACATTTAGATTGACATTTTGAATAATTATTTCTCTTATTGTCAAGGTTCTATTTTTTAATAATTTCTCAAAATATTATAGGTAATATATATTTATAAATATATCTTGTTATGTAGCATTCTAATGACCCGTGTACCAGTGTTTTTCTATGGATATTATGTTGATGTTATTGAAATTTCTTGGTTTTAAAAAGACTTGGAAAAGAAGATATTAGGAATTATAAAACTTCATTAGCTCGTTAAAGATAGGAAACCACCTGTTCCTAAAAGAAGAAGTTAGAKCTTTATATCATGGTATCTTTTGGATAAACATTAGCAAAGATTCTGTACTTGACCAAAATTCAGTCATCATCTGAACTGTTCCTTTGACATTCTGCTTTGTTTCCTTGTTAAATATAGTTTTAGCAGAGGATTTGCTGAATCAGCAAGGAATACCTGCCCCCCCCCACCCCGCCCCATACCTACTCACCCTTGACCTTCATGATCCACCACCTCTCAGGTGGTATCTGCTCACCATGATCACCCTCTCTTCAGTAAGAATCCTATTAGGTAGTTTGATCAGAGTTCCCCTCCTTATTTTAGTCACCTTCTTATGCTGCTGTGACTAAATGATCTGACCAGCACGATTGTAGAGGAGGAAAGGTTTATTTGAGGGCTCASGGTTTCAGAGGTCTCAATCCACAGATAGGCGGCTCCATTCCTTAGAGCTCAAGGTGAGGCTGAACACAGTGGTGTACTCACAGAGTGTGGCAGAGGGAAGCRGCTCACATCGTGATCAGAAAGCAGTGAGAGAGACAGTCTCCACTCACCAGAGAGAAAATATATACCCCAAAGCCACACCCTATCACGTTCAGTTAATTAACATTCAGTTAATCCCTATGGGGGATTAATTCACTGATTAGGTTAAGACTCTTAAAACTGAATCATTTCTCCTCTGAACCTTGCATTGTCTCACGTGTGAGCTTTTGGGGGACACCTCACAGACAAACCCTAACACCCCTCATGTTTCTTCTTAGTAATTTTCCATTTATTGACACCTATCCTGCTCCTTGACTATAAATCTCTACTTGCCTGTGCTGTATTTAGAGTTGAGCCCAATCTCTCTCCCACACTGCAGTGGTCCTTATACCTATTTGCATAGTCCTAAATAAAGTCGTCTTTAGTATGCTTTAGCAAGTATTATTGAATAACATTTTCTTTCATATACAAAGAAAGGCTTTTCTGACTGTAAAGTATAATATGCATGAGAAAGTAATGACAGACTGAAGCTTTAGAGTCTCATTGTCATTAAAGAAATGTAGAAATTCCTATCCGCTTAGAATAACTAAATTTGGGTAATGTCTGCCAAAAAAAATGGATGGGGTAAGGCATAAGGACTATTGTTACCTGAGTGCTTTTAAAAGAACCTTTCATGATGTTTGGCAGGGTTTATGAATTCATTAAGTGAATTGAACTTAAGTAATAAGGTACAAATATAAATTCTTTTTTTTGTTTATTTCTTGAGAAATTGAGAAACAAGGGTTAGAGAAATTTGGCTCCTTCCTAGATACTGCCAACAGAGAAAATAATAATGAACAGTTTGTAGGAAAATAAATCAAAGGGAAGAGTTTAATTAATGTATCTAACCCTGTTCAAGGATATGGTATGTGCCAAATCATAAAAAAAAAAAATCAGTCTTTATGACACTAAATGTTTTCAAAGTGATCACTGTCCATGTGTTTGCTGGGTCATATAATGGCCTCCCAAAGATGACTACACCTTTATCCCTGGAGCTTATGGATATGTTCCCTTACATATTAAAAGGGACTTTGCAGATAGAATTTAAATTTGCTAAGCAGTGTGTATTAAAATAGGGAGACCATCCTGAATTATGTGGGTGAATCCAATGTAATCACATCAGCAGAGATAAAGGCAGAGGACTCAATGAGAAGGATGTGATGAGGAGGGAAGAGGCAGAAGAGATGTGAAGCAGGAAAAGGAAGTGACCCACTGCTACAGGCTTGGAAGGCTGAAGAAGAGGGCCATAAGCCAAGGAATTCGAGTGGTCTCTCAACTGCCACTGATGAAACCAGTTGTCAGTTCTAAGATCACAAGGAATCACCTCCTGCCAAACAACCTCAATAAGCAAACAAATGGATTCTCCCCTGGAGCCTCCAGTTAGGAATGCCACCYTGATCACACCCAGATGAGACCTTGTCAGCCTTCTGACCTACAAAACTGGAAGCTTAAAATGTGTGTGTGTGTGTATGTGTGTGTGTGTTTAAGTTGACAATTTGTG